AAAAACCAAACAACTTCTAGATCTTTACAATCGACCTGCTTTAAGAGCCCTATGAATCTATCAAATGCTCATTTGCTGCATAAAAATTCTGTTGGAACAAAAGCTGAAAATAAATCGTCTTACAAAAGCCAAATGGAGCGTAGTGCACAAAATCTTTATGATAGTGTATCACTGAAGGATGGGATGAAGGTAATTTAATGGCTATTCGTATTTTGACAGTCATATTTACAATGTATTTACTAAATATGGCCTGATCTGAGTGACATCATTCATCGGATGTGTGTGAAGAAAGTGATTTAAGGGTAAATATGGTGCTAAAACTTCACTTTACTATTTACATGAGCTCTTTATCTAAAAATGGTAATAACTTCACTTGACTTACGCCTGTTAACCCTCGTAAAACATAGGCCGCCAACCATGATTTACCATCCAACTCTACCCTGGGCACTCCTTTCCAGTTGTTCCCAAGCTCTATTGATTCTTTTGATGTCTGTATCCGATTCCCGGCACCATGTGTTCTTAGGTTTGCCTCTTTTCCTTTCGCCTTGAGAGTTCCAAGTCAGGGCTTGCTGTGTGGTGCAGTTTCTGTAGTGTGCGTCCTATCAACGTACAGCGTCTTTTCTCAATTTCCTCTTCAACTGGGAGCTGGTTTGTTCTCTGCCATAGCATGCTGTTGCTGGTTGTGTACGGTCAATGGACCTAGAGTATTTTGTGCAGACCTTTTATAATTATCTACACTCTTTTCATGATAGTTGTAGTAGTTCCCTAAAAATAAGCTCCTTATAACATAAATGTTTTGATGTTTGTATTGAAGAATCTTACTTTGATGTTACCTGACGGTCGGTTTTAGCTCCATATGGTCTTCTATTACAAGCGTATCAAGCTTGAATTGTCAATCAGTGCTTTCACATCTGCGTCAGATCCGCTTTGTTCATCAGTGTTGCTGTTCAGCTACTTAAAAGCGTCCATCTCTTCCAGAGCTTCTTCATCAAGTGTGATTTGGTTGATGCTCGCTCTGTTGTCTTTCAGGATCATGATTTCACCCTTTTGAATGTTGAGATCTACTGCTGTAGAGGTTGCTACAACACTGACTGTCTTCACCTACATTTGTTGCTATGTGAGAGAGAAGACCTAGAACATCTGCAAAGTCCATAATTTCTAGCCACATCCAAGCTGTCCATGTAGGTCTTCATAATCCAGTCAGTCAACACTAAATGAGAGAAATAGCGCAAGAATAAGCAGCTTTAACTGACACCAGTCTTTACTATGAATGGGTCTGTCATCTGTCCTCCATGAACCAATTTGTAGTGCAGTCCATCGCATGAACTCTGTATGATGTTGGCGATATTCTCAACTACATCACAGTATCGAAGACGGTTACTTAATGTTCTTCGGTGAAGGGCGGCTTGTTTGAGCATTTGGGCTACCTGTTCCTGCCATTTAGATATTTCAACAAGTTATCTATTTTTGTTTGTTTTAATGTATCGTTACGTCTATTAATCGCATAACCTATTCTGCTGCGTTTCTGAAAATTGTACAATCTTTCGTTGTTAAAGTTACAAAAAACTAAATAAGAGACAATGTGGTTGCTGGCAATATACAGCGAAAAGAATGCACATTATTCAGATGTTCATTTACTGGACTGTTAACATCTAACTGGCGATCACTCAATATTTATCGCTAGGACCGACCAAGAAAAAAGAAACGGAAACTTGTTGAAATACTTTACGCCGAAAATTCTATATTGTACCAAAAATGTAATATTGAATAAAGCTAATAATAATATTCAATTTGTCTAATGCATTTTCATTGTTAAGGAAGGTGATTTATAGTGACAAATCCCATTCTATTGACTGCTCAACAATGATCCATATTGTAGTGATTTCGTCTGTTCATGACCGGTCCTTACAGAATCCAGACTGTTGACCTCGCAGTTGGACGTCTACTGAATCTTTTATTCGGTCAGGTAACACTCTGTTGGGAGCCTTCCTTGGTACTGATAGTAGTGTGATGTCTTTATAGTTCTCTTACTTGCTCAGATCTCTTTTCTTTTGTATCTTGGTGATGTATCCTTCTTTCTAGTCTATCGGCACTTGTTCTTCCTCCAGATCTGTCTGAATAGAATGTGGGGCATCTTTGAATTTACTTCTGTGTCTGAATTTAGTGCTTCATCTTGTAAGTTGTCTTGTTTTTATGCTTAGATACTCTTGGCCTTTTTATAACCATGCTGATTTATTCGACTGCCGGTGGGACAACATCGGTAGGAAGGTCTATAGGTGCTACTCTAATATCAAGTGAGTTCAGTAGAGCTGGTCTATTTAAGAGTTCTTAAAAGTGTTCTGCTCAATTGTCCTATTATTGTTAAGTCTCAGTGGTTGGTCTGCCTTGTTTGTTCCTGAATGGTCGCTCCGGATTGTTTTACTTTCCAGCTAGTTTCTTCTTTGTATCATATAGTTGTTGCTTATAACTTATTCTGATGTCATTGCTAGGTCTTTCATGTATTTCTGCTCGTCGGCTCTAATGATCCTCGCTTGTTTGCTTCTGTGTGTTCGGCGTATGCCTTGGCTTTCTCTACTCTTGTAGGGCTGTTGTTTATCGCTATCTTCTTGTTCATCTTTTCTTGAATCTTATTCCAGGATGTCAATGGAGATCCATTCCTTATGATATTGCTTGTTGTAGTCCAGCACCTTCTGACACTGAATTTATTGTTTTTCGATCTATTTCCAGTTATTCTCCGTGGTATTTTCCTCTTGTTTGAGTAGATCTTGTAAAGCCTGGAATCTGCTGCTGAGAGCCGCCTTGAATTTATTGAGTTCGTCAGTAACTCGGAGGAACTTATGTAATGATATTTCTTCAGTTGTTCAGTGCCTCTGTGGCTTCAGTTTCATCTTGGCAACCACCAGGTGATGATCTAAAGCAATGTCAAATCCTTCCTTTTTTCACGTTTTCAATGGATCTTCCGAATTTCTTAGTGAAGAAACATGATCAATCTTATTCTCTGTATTGTGACCCTGTGATACCCATGTAGCTTTGTGAATGCTTTTGCTGGGGAAATACGGTTCCACCTATAATCGTTTTGTCGAAGGCACATAAATCTACAAACCACTCACCATTCTCGTTCCTTTCTCCTAGTCGGTTCATGTCGTCCCATGACATTTCCATTCCTCTTGTTGTCCATCCATACCTTGGTATTTAGGTATTCCAACAGGATAGCCAGGTTCTTTCCTATGCACTTCGCCATGATCGATTGCAGCCTCTCGTAAAACTGATCTCTATAGTCGTCGTTGCTATCATTTGTGGATGCATAACATTGAATAACATTCATTGTGATACCCTACTTCTTTATTTTGGAGGACGCTTTGATGATTCCGGATCCATGAGATTCCCATCCATAGGTGCTTTATGTGCTTCTTTAGACGGCATCAGAACAACTCCCTGAGTGTGTGGAGTATTTTCTTCTTCGTATATATGTGCAGCAGCACCTCTCCTGAATCTATCCTTTTCTGCCCAGCTTGCGTCCAGTGGATTTTACTCTTTCAAACGTAGCCAGGTGATATATTTTCATTTCTGCAGTTACTTGACTCGTCCTGCTGGTCTCCCACACTGTTCGGAAATTTCATGTACATGTCTCAATTGTTGCTCTGGTTGTTATAAGGGGCATTGGACTCGTGAGTTCCTGATATTTCCAACCTTCACCATGAGGCGTCATAACTCTTCTAGCTCACCACTGTTTACCTCCTAGGGCAGAGTTAAAATGGTTTAAATTATTTTTTCTGGCTAGTGCCTTTTAGCAAAGTTCAATTCTACGGGATATGATTGCTGAACCCATGTCTAACCTTTCTTCTCTCCTCGGGCTTAAGACCGGTAGTAATCCTAGAAGAGCTACAGGTGCAGTTAAAAATGGCAATTAGTTTGAAATAAGCTATCTTGGAGTTTAGACGAGTTTTAATTTACCATGAATTCTGTGCATACAACTCAAAAATTATACGATGAAAATCCTAGACCAGACTAATTACTATATCATTTGTTACACAACTCCTATGTTTGGCTTACTGAAGGATAAATTTTGTCAAGGAACCTAACTCCATTTATCTAGTTTTTTAAAATTTAAATGTATACTTTTAGCAGATAATTCAAAGCGACGATGGACGTATCACTACTGACAATGAATGTTTAATGTTGGAACTTGAGGAAAAAAAAGGTCAAATAAAACGCTTACAGAGAATTATAGAGCACCAAAGAGAACTGTTTTTAAGGCAGTCAGAAGACACACAGAGAGATGGTGATCGAAGAATAGAATCAATTAAAGCTGATTATGAATGTACAATTAACCGAAATTATAAACTAATTGATGAACTAATTGAAGAGAAAAAAGTACTTCATACAAAATGCGAAGAATTTTTAGAAGAACTAAAGACAGTGACAAAGAAAACGAACGAAAAAATCAAAGCACTTGAAGAAAGGTTAGTTAGTAGCAGGTGATCTTTAGTGTTACTTGGCTAAGATGATTGCTGATATGATGTGATAAAAAGGCAAAATCAAATTTCGACTTAATAGCCTAAACTACAGGCCATACAACTGTCGCTATTTGTTGTTCTTAAAAATGTCAATGTTACAGTGTAGTTGGTTTCTCGTAATCATAGAATTTTACTTAATGATTTTGTTTTGATCGAATAAGAACGATCTCAATTTGGTTATCAAAAAACTACGAAACGGAACGACTGCAACCTGTGAAACCAGCTCATGAACAATTAAATTTATACGCAATGATGGCTGAACTGTCATACAAAATGCAGAAAACGTATATGAAATGCAATTTGTAACAAAATAAAAATCTAAATGAAATTATGCGTGGCCTTAAAAACGGCCTTCTATCGGTCTCTTGGTTCCAACTCTACAATCATTTCTCTTCCAGGGTTTTCCATCTTCCCATTCCGATATTTCTTCAATAATCATCTCATTTTAAAAAAGTAAAACAACGTTAGATTCTCAGTTAGTAACTGAAATATGAACATACCATTTAGCCTGTGATACCAAGTTTCGGTACGTTCATGTGTTCCATTACACTGCCTTAACCGTGCCACATATTAGACAATGGAATGCAAGGAATTGCTGTGGTGCGTCCCAACCACAAAAAGAATGAAACACAGCATTGCAGCGAAAAATAATCCAGGTTCTTCCCTTAACAGTTTCACTTGGTGGCTGAGTAAGATGGCATATGTCACACAGTTCGTTGACATGAATATCTTCGTCTATGTTATTGTCTCTGTCATTGAATCCTTCTGAGTTTATTGAAACAACATCACCTTCTTCATAACTTAGCCCAGGTGCTGCGAATAATGTCAACACTGCTTGAGGCATTCTTTTGATTCTTATGGAAATGGGAGTCAGGGACCCCATAATAGCAATATGTCACCCGTTAATGATTTCTGATAGTGCTCCTTAACTCTTCAAGCTATTGGAACGCTCGAAACAATACATCTGGTACTTTGTAAGTTATTTACCTTTGGAGAAAAAATGATCACTCGAGGAATATTTACGTTTTATATTACCTTTTGGAGAATAATAATCAATAATTACCATTTTAAAACTAATTATTTCATTGGGCAAGACGGGATGAAATCGTTTTTAAGATGGGATGAAAAAATATTTGATAAAAACAGTACAAAAATAACCGTGTGATAAATAATATTCACAATATTCTTGTATTAAATTAACGTTAACTATGCTCAGCATGATACTCAGCATATTATTTGTTATAAAACTGGGTATTTTTCATATTGTGGTGTGTGCTACTGACGTCGACCAACATAAGTGGTATGTTTCATCAATCGAAAGTGAAATGCCTAGCGGCACATGGTTAAGTTCGAAAAGAGAAGAAAACGAGATCAGAGAATGATTGGTGTGGAAACGAAGGAGCACCAAGCAACGCGAATGAAAAAAATATCAAGAGGAGCAATCGGTTTAAAATTAAGACTTGCTTTTAATTTTCACAAAGACTTGATTAGAACCTAATGGGGATTTTTTTCAGTCCTCATTTCGTGAGTCTAACTCTTCAGTCAACTAGGAAGACATCATTTACCTGTATAGTCAGTTCAAAACACAAAGTGATTTTTCAATACTGTGTTCATTGAAATTTTCAGAACCAAGCTGTATTTAAAAAGTTTAATATCGTTTACTCGAACAGCTAAAGCCTATAGTTTACTTAAGAAAATGAACACTTGTTTACTTCAAGTAAACTCCGTAAGACATTCTTGTCTAAATTAAGCATCGTTTAAATCTTGCTATTCAGACAGGTTTAAACTTGTAAGTGCTTCCAACTTTTATGTCTAATACTATTGTACATAGTCCAGGTTGAAGTATTCTCTTTAAGTTTTTAAATTTCCTTATAATTGATGAAGAGTTGAGCTTTAATTTCTGATCTTTTGGAAGTTTGTAATACTAAGATTATCTATCTAACATGGAACTATTTGATCCAACTATTCTTTGAAGATGCTGCAGTTTTCCTTTCGAGATCCAACAAAACACTGAGTTTGGAACTATGTGAAGTTGTTCATAGGAATTTTACATAATAGTCCTTAGTGATTCGATTTACGACTAGATAAGTAATACAAGTATAAAGTAATTGCGTCCACAAAAATATATTTAAGAGTATTTAAAGTTATTAAATCTAGTTACTTAACAAATGTTGTGGAAACAATAACAGATGTTATGTAGGATAAAATTGGAATCGTAAGGAATGGAAAATCGCACCATAAACTAATGATTAATTTATTCTTACTAACGTTTCTGGAATTACGATGAATACAGCTACATAGAGATAAACAGGTTTAGCGCAGTATAGGATTTTTTTTATACGATGGTCCTACAGTCAAAATACCTGGAAATGCACAATTATCAAAATGTATTGATCATAAACTAGGCGCAAAGTTCACGTCTATCACTTTTAAGTTATATACTGATGCTTTTCAATATTGTTGCATATCTGATCGTATGATATAAATTGATGATTATTGGATGCTCCTCTAATCTGGGTGATTCTATCTACCTTATTAATATTATTACCAACGAAATTTCAATGCATAGATTGCCAATGTGTCCTAATTTTTTATCCGTAGCCTAAACTAGACATTCATTCATCAAAGCATGAATGTTTCAGCGAGGTTTGAACGAAAGAAAATCTTTGAAAATATAAAACTAGAATATATTTCCTTGTCGCCTATAGTTGACAATTAATAAAAGAAGTGTATATACTTAATTCACCGAATATAAAAAAACTAGAAATTTTATTAACGAAAACTATTATAGAAAGGCTAAATTTATCGGTTACAGCCAGTAAAGTTCACATAAGTAGTGTTTTCGATTATCTTTTAACTAGACACAAAGTCGAGATGCGAAAAGTAGAGGCCAAACATTTAGCTGCGGAAAAGCTGCGCCGGGAAAAGTGGGAGACAGAAAAAGCAAAACATTTTAAAGTGAGTAGTTTTTTGTATAACCTTTATTGCATTTATCTGCCAATATACATCGCGTTATGTTATATTACCTGCAATATTATAGAGGTAATTCACGGTAATGTTTTAAGTGTATGGAAAGCGGTTAGAGATAGCATTCATTGTGAATGTGTTAGAGTAATGCTGACGCGTGTTTACTGATGGTGATTGAGTGTTCTTTAAATTTTGGTATCTGATCATTAAAAGGTTCTATTAATACTCCAGATAACTGTTCACTTCATTTTAGAAGCATACAAAGAGGAAAGTCTGTAGAATATAACCTGTATACAATTTGATATGGTGCTTTAAGTCTGTATGGATTAGATGCAAAGGGTCTTTCATGTGTTCGAATGAAATAATCAGTTATTTTTTATTGACAGTTATCATTTACTTTTTTAAAGAAATAGCTCATTTAAAGTAGTCGCTCGTTTTCTTTACTTTCCCTTATTCTACATATGATCAGTGTTTTATAAGGACTATTTAAGTAAGAGATCCAAGATATCAGGGAATTTTAGTTAAACTTTAATATCTGTTCGCATTTGCAGTACTGACAAGTTATTCAATGGCTATCCATATTGGTGCTAAAAAGTTGATATTGGATATGAATATAAAGTAATTGAATGTATTTATGTTTAGTTATGCATAAAAAGAAATTAACATTAAAAAATGGATATCCTGATTCACGACACTGAGGTGGTCGGAAATCACTTAATAAAAATTCCAAACGCTTTATAGTAGCTGATACTATATCAAGCCTACATAGGATATTCTAGCTTCTCGACAGACTAATTTATTCATTCTTCTTAAACTACATTTTGACCTTGTCACTTATTCGGTTATTAACCCTGACCGTTTATATATGGTCGTACGTGTGCCAATTACTTATCATATTTATTAAGTGTCTGTAACATATTTTTGTCTGAACATAAATATTGATCAATACGAGTTAGTTAATTCGCCTTATCCACTGAGTGTCATTTCGTTTCGCTTCACTCTCTCCTCTACGCTTCCTTCTCTTAGTTTCGTGATTGTTTGTTCAGATCAATGAGTGTACAAAATATACGTATTCAAACTCCATTCTCGCATTTGACTTATTTAATCCCGTTCTTCATCAACGCGATATAAGTCGATAATTGCATATAAGGATTATATATATGTATATTTTCGATAACAACCATCATACGATCCAGTTGGAGTCATATGATGAGCCGCAAAAAATCTACGTCTTACAAGCCAAATTTAGTTTGCATTTTGGTCTAATTTTCGAGACACCTGGATGCACTTGTTTTATTTCTTACCGGAAAATAATTCCTTAGATCATTTTATTCACTTTTTAATTAAACTGAATACGTATTCATAAATGTTCGTGTTTCATTCAGGAAGTGGGGGATAACTTTATGAAACGTCCACTGACACAATAAAACTTTTATCACGGAGATAGTTTACCTAGACAAGTGTCTATGGAGTTAATTTATAAATTATTTGCATTTTGTTACTATTCACAACATACATTATAAAGGACAAGTGATGAACAGAATCAAATGAGAATTTGAGCATAATTGAATTCGCTCATATTTTATATAAGGAAAAGGGTCATATCTTGATATTTTCCTGTATTAATTTCATTTTGGTTTAATAGGAAGTTACTATTCGTGGGATGGAAAATGAAGTAGCCCAAATGATCGCAAATCACAAGGCTGAAATGGCAAGTTTGCGTCAGTCATGCGCTGAACAAATTCAAGCAGCTGATGTACGCGCCTATCAAGCTTACATGAGTCACATTGAAGAACTAAAACAGACGTTGATAAAAGAAAAAGATGAAGCTTGCTGTAGAGAAAGAGAACTTGTTGAACAACGGTAGTTAGATAGCCTTTTTATAATTACTAATACTTTCTTATTGAAGTCGCAAATCGAACAAAAATAGACAACCATTAAAAACCTGGAAGTAATGGACGGCCATTTTGTGAATGTGTATTAGAAACTCATTTTAAGCAAAAACTATAACTATTACTGCCGATTTTTTGTTTATGTGAATTATGTGATCTTTTGTGACACAAATTTAAAAAGCTGAGATTTCCAATTTTTTCTTAAAACGGATGTTTTATTTAGAGCTTTAATAAGTAGCAAACTGCGATAATAAGATTATTATTTTGGTATACCTTCAGATGGGTTTTGGTATAGTTAGGATATGATATGGACGCTCATGCTCCTGTCATGACTAATTCATTTCCGTTACTGTAATCGCCTTTGAACTATCAGACTCAAGGTTATCAATCAACGATTACTGGCATTTGATGACACCAAACCAGAAAGTCTATATTCTGAGAATTCATTTGATGGAATTGGCCAGGAAGTTGATAAGCTATTATTTTTTGAACGAGTTATAGTATACAATTTGTAGAATATTACTGCCTACATAGCCGGAGGGTTTCAGCATTATTGACATGCAATTTTGCTTGGAGATTTATTTGCTCATTTGTATCATTTAATCTGGAACTCATTCTATACCTATAGATCATTCATGAGTTTCAGTCACGAGACAAGTGCGAGATATTTCATTCTTTATTAGTTAGCTATCTGTTATGAACTATCTGATGATACATAACCGCCTGAATTGCGATCTAAAAATAAATTATAAACGGACAGTACTCCCCCACTTTCATCTACAATAATAAAAAATCGAATTATGTTATCTTAAGTTTACTTTAAGTAGATATAATGATTTGTTAATTTTGTCCACGTTACAGTACTCTCTCTTCATAGGTGCAGCTGGATGATGAGATCGTTTTTATCAATTTTATCGGTAACCCTATTCAGTTAAATTATTCTACGAAAGTATTCGATAACATTGTTTGTCAAGTTATTCATTGTAATAGCTCAATCTCTTATTGCTTCTAACACTATGGTGTTATTCCGATTTCGACTCCATTTTTATCAGTACGTAACAATGAACTAAAACGAGGCTGTGAGACCATTT